CCAAGGTCCTGCCCTGCTGGGCTGAACGGGCAGACGCGGGTCCCGGCCCAGATGGCCACGGAGGTCACCGGGAGGGACACCAGCCGTCGGGAGGGAGCTGGTTCAGCCTGCAAGGCCCAGAGAGGCTTACCAGGGTCAAACACACCAACATATCCTGGCCGGGTAAACCTGACAGTTTGGGGGGGACTTACTGGTTCAAGAAAAGAAAAACGTATCAGGGGAGGAAGGAAGGAAGATGGAGAGTCTGGGGAGGCATTTAGCAGGAAAAAAAAGCTCCTGGTCATCATTCTGGGAGCTTATGGGAGACACTTTGTTTCTCATACACAGGTTTAGCTTCCAATCAGAATCGTCCTATGGATATGTCTATTTCCTGCTTATTTTCCCTGCCATTATTTTATAAAATAAAACCAAGTGCAAAACCCTATGCAAAAGTATCCAAGTAAGTCAGGAGTATTTTTCTCTTTCCAACAACATAGAAATGCATAACGTGTGCCCGGACACAGACATGCAATGATGAAAAGAAAATACGAAATTCTATTTTAAAAAACTCCTGCATGGAATAAAGTCCTCACGGAATTCCATCTGAAGACAAAGCCCGTCTTCTGGGGTTCCACCTCGTACATGTTCTACTCCCTTGTCTGTGACCATTCCCTAACCCACTTCTGCTACTTGAATTTCAGCTCCTCTAAACTCAGCATCAAACGCTACCTACCTAACATTTAGTGAGTCCTCAATTACTGACTGATGAGTGAATGGACAAATGCATGCACACAGCGCAATAGAGTAATCATTAACTTATTTCCCCAGGAACGGCAGTGCCATTTTTAAAATTTTTAACTGGAGGATAAATGCTTTACAATATTGTGACAGTTTCTGCCAAACATCAACATGAATCAGCCAGAGGTTTACATAAGTCCCCATCCTCTTGAACCTCCTTCCCACCTCCGTCCCCATCCCACCCCGCTAGGTGGTCACAGAGCACTGGCTTTGGACTCCCTGCACCATACAGCAAATTCCCACTGGCTATCCATACATATACATATGTTAATGTATATGTTTCAAAGCTATGCTCTCAAATCACTCCACCCTCTCCTTTCCCCACTGTGTTCAAAGGTCTGTGTCCTCTTTGCTGCCCTGCAAATAGAATCATCAGTGTTATCTTTCTAGACTCCACATATTACACATTAATAATTACAGAAGTCTTTCTCTTTCTGACTCACTTCACTGTATAACAGGCTCCAGGTTCATCCACCTCATTAGAACTGATGCAAATACATTCCTTTTTATAGCTGAGTAATATTCCATTGTGTATATGTACCACAACTTCTTTATCCATAAATGTGCCGATGGACATCTAGGTTGCTTCCATGTCCTAGCTATTGTAAATAGTGCTGCAGTGAACACTGGGGCACATGTGTCTTTTTCAGTGATGGTTTCCTTGGGGTATAAGGGTAGTGCTTTTGAGCTCAGCATGGAATAATCCTTCTCCCATGTTCTCAGCCAATCTGATGACAATTGGTTTCATTTTTATCCCTCAACTATTAAAAGTTTTTGCTGTATGTATCACAGAATACTCACCCCCAGGAGTGAAAGACCACTTTCCAAATTCATGGTTCAAGTTTTTCTGTTCCACCCTGTTATCACTGGTGTTGGTTCAGGCTCTTGAGTCTAGTTTGGTCTATTCTTCCTTGATTAAAGGATCTTAACTGGGATTTATCTGAGGAATCCTCACTCACCCCAATCAAAAAAGAACATGTGAAAACCTACCTTAAGAGAAAGGAGGATCCTGAGAGGTGACACTAGTTGGATTAATCCTTTTTTTGCTTTCCTACTATATTTCACTAGCAATTAACATCCCCCCTCCCCCACCATATAATGGAGAAGGAAATGGTAAACCACTCCAGTATCCTTGCGTGGAAAACCCCATGGATGGAGGAGCCTGGTGGACTGCAGTCCATGGGATCACAAAGAGTCAGGCATGACTGAACAACTATCAGCCCACCAGTTCAGTTCAGTTCAGTCACTCAGCCATGTCTGACTCTTTAGGACCCCATGGACTGCAGAACGCCATGCCTCCCTGTCCATTACCAGCTCCCAGAGTTTGCTCAAACTCATGTCCATTGAGTTGATGATGCCATCCAACCATCTCATCCTCTGTCGTCCCCTCCTCCTCCTGCCTTCCATTGTTCCCAGCATCAGGGTCTTTTCAAATGAGTCAGTTCTTCGCATCAGGTGGCCAAAGTATTGGAGTTTCAGCTTCAGCATCAGTCTTTCCAATGAATATTCAGGACTGATTTCTTTTAGGATTGACTGGTTGGATCTCCTTGCAGTCC